GCACGCACGCACGCACGCACGCACGAACGCACGTGTACGTACACACGTACGCACGCACGTATACGTGCACACGCACGCACACACGCACGCACGTTTACATACACACGCACGAACGCACGTGTACGTACACACGTACGCACGCACGTATACGTGCACACGCACGCACACACGCACGCACGTTTACATACACACGCACGAACGCACGTGTACGTACACACGTACGCACTCACGCACGCACGTATACGTGCACACGCACGCACACACGCACGCACGTTTACATACACACGCACGAACGCATGCATAATAAATCGGTAATAATCGCTATCGGGTGTTGTCGTGCAGACGCTACATAATCGCTAACTCGAGTTAACGCTTAACTATATAATATCTTTGCTTTCCACTATAGATATCTAATAATACAAGGGATCTTATTATAATTAAAATGTATAACAAACTAACTTATTAGAGATAATACAAGTCAGAAGAAACGCTCACAAATAGCTCATAACGAAAATGACCCTCATACATTGTGCACACACGAGGTATACAGTCACAATGTAAAAATACAGACCAAAGTTCGACGGTGGACGTGGCTCAGAGGACAGACTATTTCAGTCAGGTATGACTTTTTTTCAGAACGTACGAAGCCAGGCATAGTGGGGCCCTGCTAATGTTTTGAATTTGAAATAAATTTCATATCACTCTTGCGATTATCAATAGAGTATGATCCGTACTTCCCACTGACATGCGATTAGTTCACTCTTCGAAAAAATATGAAAATCTTAATCTAGCCAAGTTCGTCTTTGTTATTTAGCCAAACCAAAAAAGCAAGCTTTGAAGTCGCCATACTTAGAAAACATCTTCTAATCGAAGAAATATAAAAATCTGAATCTATTCAAGTTTCTCTTTTGATCATCAAAAGACTAGCGTACCTTTGAACCATTCACACTTCTATGCAATATCTATGGAAAATATCTAAGCGAACATCTATAGAAGTGTTTGTAGCTGTACCCAATGCGAAATTCAACGTTTAGATTGGCAAAAGGCAAATGTATATATTTGAACGTAACCGGCATAGAAACAATAAGCGTTTGTATAAATATAAAATAGTTCAGGCATGAAGAATCTAATCGCGTCAATCGTGAAATTGAGAAGTGCTACTTGTATGTGTATATTATCAAGAGCTCATAATAGAGATCTTGATATTATCCAATGCATCTCGTACATATATTAACCATACTCGGTAACGGCCGAGACAGATTTTTAAGCGTAATTCTCTACACTGCCCTAAGTGACTCCTACCAACACCACCAATTTTCGACTGGTAATATGATATCTTCCGTTTCATTAAGCACCTCCCTTATATCGAAACGTTTTCCATTTGTGTAAAAAATTTCTCAAATGTTGTTCAACTTCTTCAAAAATTAAATGTGAATGTGCAGTAAGAAGTGTGAAGTAAATACGTTTACGAGGTTTATGGATTATAAACCAAGCACCACCTCATATAACCTAGATACGATCAATATACAACTGCCAATACGTAGCTTTTCATACAAACGATTAACAATGCAACATTCTAATATATTATTCTTAATATGGTTAGCATAATTTTTCACCAAAAATATTTGTATAATTCTGAATTTATTACCCTTGATGCTTTACTACATTTGGTATACATTTCATATAATGTAAGTTAGTGAATGTAGTCATAACTAATTTGGCATACAGCATTTTGTCCACTTTGGCAGTATAGAAATAGCAGTAGCAGCAGCAGCAACAGCAGCAACAACAACAACAACAGCAGCAGCAATAGCAGCAGCAGCAACACCAACAACAAGAGCAGCAGCAGCAGCAGCAACGCAACAACAACAACAACAACGACAACAGTAACAACCGCAGCAGCAGCAGCAGTGGTATATAGATCTACGGCCTTATAGTCAGCCACTCAATATTGCGAGCAGAGTAAGCAGCACATGGCCTTCACCCCTTCCATGCCAATAGTATTACAGATAATGACTTTCTCTCATCCTATCGTAAGTAGTACATAAGCATTTGTCTAACGTTAGTCACCACCGGGAACCTAACACCCAGAGTAATGATAAAAGCTTATAAAGCTATCCTGAATACTGATGTAGGGTTAGGGTTAGGACTTAGGGTATAATGCAAGGTAAATTTTAGGGTATAAGATAATAAGGTAAATATCCTGCTAAGTATAATGTCCGTAACGATAAGACCTTTAATAAAAAGTGACATTTCGTGTACGTTTAGGAAATTAAATACATAGCCCTCCGCTCCGCCGCAGGAGGGTTATAGTTCTAGAGCTACATGCGTGCGTGCATAGACATTCTACATTAGATAAACAGATTAGGAAAAGTTGGATAAACAAATACATGGAAAAGATATGCATTTATTGAAACTCGTAACTCGGTTTTCTGCTAATCGAAAATAAAATTGAACAAAATGTGTAGCTACACATCCAAATACAATTCTCGTATAGAAATATTTAGTCAAACTGGATAACCAGTTATAAAATTGTAACCATTATAAAATATTTCAATAAACCGGGAAGCAATTCATAGCCACATCGCTTTCACTTCAAAAATCAGCAACAGGCACGAGAAGACTATACAGTAACGTTACTTCTTAAAGCTACAAATATAATTTATATAATATAATTATAATATTATATAAATTATAATTTTCTATAATTAGCTTTGTTCACGTCTGTAAATCAAAATGTTGCCGATTGCATATAAACATTGACATTCTTACACAAATGTATACATAGTTAGCATCTGTGTTGCAAACACAATTGGCTGATATCACATGCAGGCTTATTATTAAAAATTATAGGTATACTTTCTCTCGTGTTCTTCATATGTGCTAAGATATGGACCACGTTGGCACTATAGTATAAAGTGTAAACCCTTATCTCACGACAAGGAGAAAAACTACCTTCATAAACAACACACGCCACACAATCACGACAACTCTGTCAAGTGTCCCATGCAAAAAGTAATTCTGAACTTGGATAGTAGGACAATGAGAATACAAACTCATAAGGCTAAGTAAGCAGACTATTTACAGATTTCAGTAATAATACTTATCTCTCACCATGCAACAAACAGAGTGAAATTTCATTCACAGCCAACACGGTGCCTGGCAATAACGTGTGGTTAAACACATCATTGCAGTGGGAATATAAACTTTAACAGACTTTAGGTTCGGAAGCATTGGCACTCTTTGGCATGTCTGCTGTCAACCAGCGGGTGTAAAGGGCAATGGCAGATGCCCACAGCGATAAGTTGGTAAGTCCTATAGCGATGTACAGCAGGAGAAATGGCCCACTCATATGCATTATGCGGTAGAGAACAATATTGTGATAGAAGAAGATTCCTGTTCCAACACATAGGTTAATTCCTGCCAGCAGGAACATCCCTGTGTGATAAAAACACTGTGTGAGATTTATTGAGCATGACTCTCCATGACATTTTAATAATGACATCATTAATAATACAATAATCAAGAGTAAAGTAACAAACTGCAATTGCTTATATATATCAATTTCAGCTACCCTGGCACTTGGGTTATGCATAGACATAACATGATGCAAACCCGATTTCTAAGTGCCATGTAGATGCAGCAATAGCAACGAATTGATTTGCAGCTGTTATGTTCCCTTTCATAGTGTTACTTAGAAGAGTGCAATTTGTAAAAATGACCTCGTTCAAGACTACTGCACCTTTTATTATATAATACTGTTGGCAAAAGTAACCGCTGCAATGATTAGATTACAGGTTCCTCGATTCAGCTAGACAAAATTTCTAACTAAATTTAAATATAGGAGAAATGTACTCGTATGACAATGGGTTTACCAATTAATATTATATATGACCATGAGTTTATGAACTTACCTATTGCAACTTCTTTGGCAAAGTAGACATATTCATGTACCCAGGCTGCTACACCTACTACTGTTAAGAGAAAGCTGTTCCTGCACCAACTTAGATAGCCTGTGACAAAAGCAGACTACATAATCAAACTTAGATCAATAAACACACACACAAGGTATACACAATTTTATTCTAGATGTGGTTTACTTTATCAAATTGTATTGCTTTTCCATTACCCAGTTGGGCACAACAATTTTGCAACCCCCACCACAGGAGTTTGCTAACGCTATGGCCCTGATATGTCAATGTTGCAATTTCCATAAACGTTGTATATAGCACAGTCTTTGACAAGGGAAACATCTATAAACGAAAAGTGACACATGCCTAAACACACGCATGCACGCACCGTAAAACGCTTATGACCTCCCAAGAGAAAACGAGTAATATCCCAAACTTGCCAGTTGCAGACACACAAATATCACAACATATCTGTACATCGCATTCCACCTTGATCACGTACCTATCATACATAATCTGGAAGATGCAATTTAGCTCAGAACTGGGTTTGGAGTTTGCACTAGTCTACTACTGACCATATTCACCAGCAGGAAGATTAGAACCATAGCGGACGTGAAGCTTAGTTAATTCATTGACGGAACTAGCCTGAACATGGTCAGAAGCACTACACAGTTCCTTAAAGATCAGATATACTTTGTGACAGGTAGTAAGTCGCCAACATTACCAAGAATGACATAACAACATCAGAATCTTTTTTCTAGCAGAAAACCAGTAGCTGTCCTCATGCAGCTATACAACCCTCACTACCTGTGTTCGTCCCACAATCGACTATAGATGCCTCTTTGTATGAGATCCACCAGTCCTGAGACCAACATACACGTACTGCACAGAGATGACAGCTATGCACAGACGTGCAGCAGCCCCTGTAAGTAATTAAGGTGCCCAAGACCAGTCCCTTTGAGATGCACTCACAAATTAGGGCATGTACTGTACTAGAGCTTCTTACAGCTCAGTCAGACCATGGAATTGCTCCAACCCCCAAGAGTGTCATGACTCAAAAGACAGTTGAATGCTTTCTGTAAAGCGAACCAACAGACTGTGAGCAATCATTACTTATATATATGTATATATACATATATATATATATATATATATATATATATATATACATACATATATTGCCCAAGACACAGCCTGATTATTACTATTAGCCACCAGAGTATAACGGGAACCCCTTTTAGAGGGAGGTTTCACAATTCTAACCAAAAGTGCACAATCCATGTGCTTACCGCCCTACTATTGTGTTGCAAAGCTTTTTTGCAGATCAAAGGCCACACAAGTAGAACTTTCATGCAACCCTATAAGCTCCATGCATGCTCTGCGCAATAGGATCCACGGTATAAAGGCTACGAGGATGAGTTATGTAGGGAGAAATCGTGGAATTTGTCAGACCTGTCAGACAGAACGTGTATTTTTGGCAGGTCCGGCTGATTTTTCTTACGTTTCATACTGACTGTCCAGCTCCATTTTCCCTGCAGCTGGGCGATGTTCATTACGACTACAAAAAATCAGTGGGTCCAACGACAATTAAATTGACTACGTCACGAATTTTCCTATGGTAAAATTTGTAAAATTTTTGTTGCCATTTTTTACATTAAAGTAAGAACTAACGGGACTAAACGTATCGTAAAATCATCTACCTGCTAGATGTGTTCTCACTAGTTAAAAATCCAAAAAACCTAGACGATTTTGATATTAGTGTTCCTGCACATTTAATTGCTTGTATGGCGCTATGTTGCGTCACGAGTGTATGTTTCACATCAAACCAATAATATAGATAAAATTTTAGAAGTATACATGCAGCGCAATTTAACCCATAAAAAGGTGAACAGAAATTACTTATATTTTGTGAAAAATTAGAAATATTTTTTTATTTTTAGTATTTACGGTGACGTAATCACTTTAAGTCCCTTACCACTTGCCGGCCGAGTCCGGGCCCATTGCCGGCTGAGAAAGAAACTTTACTTTCCCTGTACATATAGGTGGCTCTATATATATATATATATACATTAAAACTCGCATGAGTCGTCATCGTCTAACTCGTCAATTAGCATAATTCGTCATGGAAGTCAAAGCTCCGATTTTCTCTCATAGTAACTCCATTGGAATAGCCCCGCCTAAGTCGGCATTTATAAGCTGTCATTATGTGCAAGTCATCGCCCCCAGACAGGTACCATGTAATACAAACAACAGTAATTTCCCGTCTGTAAGTTGTCATCAGAAATGACGATGGCGCAGTGTACGGTCTAGGGGATGTGATGCAGATCTATATGCGCTTAGGTCAAACCGACGAGCGCTTGTAGTATAGCCAGTAGTAGCCTATACTCCCTGATTTACTGTCGGACTCCCTGATTTAACACATGCAGTAGTCCGTGTGACTCCCTGAAAATTCTGCTATACTAACTAGTTTGTTCCAGAGAACGGCCTTGCGGAAAATTACCGTATTTTTTCAGCAATTGTTCCAAGAAAATTTGGCATATGTCGTCATTTTCGTAAGTCGGCACAAATATGCTGGTCCTAAAAGTGTCGACTTATGCGAGTTTTACTGTGTATATATATAAAATAATATAGATATCAATAAGAATACAAGTTTCAGCACACATATTAAGGTACTCCAACTTCAAGAAGACACTATATACAACCTAACAGTAACATCACATGTGCGAACTATATATACCGGTGTCCCAAACTAGGATTGTCCAACACATTCATTATATATATATTTATATATATAAGTTATAACTATATACCTATCTAACTTTTTTGGCTTATGACTGCCATTGACATATTTTGCATACCATTTTCGTTAGCAAGACGCACTACCCATCCAATGCGTATCGGATCCGTTTCATCACTGTATTTGAGTAGCGAAAGCCTCACTGTTCGTCCAGCTCCTGCTCTAGCTTTTAGCAAAATCGGTTCGATTTGTGTTCTGCTTGTTGTTCGCCTTTGAGTGTGACTGTTGATATGGGTTTGTTTACTAAATAATTGCTGACGCTGTCGCTGTCGCCGGGTTTCAATCTGACTCTGACCACTACCAAAGCCAATGACATTTCTTGTAAGATTATTAAAACATAGGTTGAACCGAAATAACGAAGTACGTTGAATACTCTGACGTAGCGTAGATTGAAACATAATGTAAAATTCTTCACACTCGTTGTCGACTTCTTTCCAACCAAGGACTGAAGGAGCTCCTTGTTTCCAACAAGTGACCTCACTAGGAGGCGCTAATGCATGCTTATCTTGTATCGTAGACCGGACCCACCGTCCGCTATTTTGCAAAATTACCAGAGTGAACAGAAAAGATAACCAGTCCACGCCCGCCTTTCTTGCCGCCGTTTACAGATTTCTCCTGTTCTAACCTGTTCTGTTCTGTTCTGTTTAACCTGTTCTGTTCCTGTTCTGTTAGTAAATCTACGTTGTAAAGAACAGCAGTGGCCTACCCCGTGATCCACGGCGTAAAGATTCTTAGACAAGCCACAAGGTAACCAGTCCACGAACTATAACGCGGTCTAGCCTATAGTACTGCTCAAGAGTCAAGGGGTCGTTGTCGTATCACTATCAGGTACGTACTACAGATAGTAGTCCGAGATTCCTCTGACCAATGCCCACACCGACGATTTTGGTGACGACGGCCTAACCCACACCAAAACCACCAAAATCGTCGGTGTGGGCATTGGTCAGAGGAATCTCGGACTATACAGATAGGTAACCGAGGTACATTCTGTAGGTGCAAATCCACTTTAGGCACCTTAGCCTTAGGTATCACGAAGTGAATCTTAACCCACTGATGCACTGACTTTCCTTATATCAAGGATTGATGCACAAATGTTTAACTGCCCACATAGCCATGCTAAAAAGCGCCACATATCGGACAAAAATACTACTATTATACCACTAAAAATTATGTTGTGTATTTTTAGCTCATCTGACATAGTCAGATGTAGACCAATAAATTGTGCCCTAAAATTTTTTTATATTCTGGTGTTATTTTAGGGCCCAATAGGCTTCCATAGACAAAACCTGTGAATTCCGACATGCAAAATGCACGACAACCTTTTGACTATTTACGGCCGTGTTACATAGAAAATCAAAGAAATACATAAAGCCGTCGCTTTATTAACATCTTACCTACATTACAAAACACTTGTCATGCAGTATTCTCACGGTCGGACATCCGGGACCTTTCGCCGTCCCACAATTCATTGCGCGTATAGCAACCAACGCGAAGGGGCAAACATTGCTCATTAAAGGGACGCTAAGTATAGGCAATACCTGAAGCTAGAGAGTAGTGCGATCGTTTATTTTGCAGTTTAGTAGTTTGAATCAGCAACTAAAATGGTTAAAAGCTGTTGTGTGTTTCGTTGCACAAATAACAAAGCGAAGAACCATGAACTTTCGTTTTATTTAATACCAAGTGAAGCTACTGAACCCGAGAGAAGAGTACTGTGGCTAAAAGCTATCAATCGCGGCACGCAGGAAGGCAGTGGCAGTGCCAGTGGCAGTGGATCTCTATGGCAGCCCAAGTCTGACTACACCTATGTTTGTTCAGCTCATTTCATATCAGGTTAGTACTTTCATGAGTGATTATACTTAGTTATAAGCAAAATTCTTTAGAAAATAGATAGAATGCCACACAGTGT